TCAGGTTCAGGTTCAAAGATCTGCAAAATTTAAAGTTCAGTTCAGGTTCAATTAAACTTGAACCTGAATCTAAATTGGACTGAACTGAACTTTGAAACACTACTATAAACTCTCTAAAAAATGTGTTACATGTAATCAAAAATTAAAATTAGCATTTATTTATAAATATAAAACACCTTATTCACTTTGTAATATCAATTATAATAGACTTCTAGTTTATTATTTTTGGAATAACACATATTGAATGCAGGTATAAAGTAATATTTAATAAGAATTTCTAATTGTATCTAGTAATACTTTTACTCTAACTAATATAATCCTACTGAGTATGATTAGAAAATTTTTAATTATACCCAGTAGATTTGTACTAATTAGAGTAAGATTATAGTATACAATAGCTAAAGATATTTAATTTTTTTAAAAATGCAAATCAATAAATTATAGTATATAGAAATATATATAAACTTTAAAGTGTAATAACTCTTAAAATTAAATAAAAGTCTATTCTAACAGAAATGTAACTTAGATAAAAAGTAACAAATTTATAAGAGATTTTTGCTAAAATATTTTGTTCTATAATTATAACTTTATAACACTTTTTATATTTTATATATAAATATTGGATATCTTTGCTGTCCTATACTATATAATTAAAAAAAAGTAAAATAACATATACTGAATTAATAACTAAATTCAAATTAATTTTTTATATAGATTTCAATTTGGACAAGAATTTTAAAGGATTGGAATACAAGGCTTAGTAAATATGACAAGAATATTCTTCTTATTATTGATGGTGCACCAGTATATTAGCTTGAAGAAAATATTAAATTTAAGCATATTCATATTGAATTTTTGCTATCTAATGCTACCACCCATATTCAACCTTGTGATCAAGAGATAATTCATTCATTTAAATACTTTAATAAAAAAAGTTTTATCAATAATAGGATTGAGGCATATAATTCTGTTCATGATAAGCCAAATAAAAGTCTATCAGCTTTTACAATTCGTGATGCAATTTATCTCGCAGCTGATGCTTGGCAAAATGTAACATCTAATACTATTGTAAACTGTTGAAAGAAGGCTAATATTCTTCCTATTAATAATGATAATAATATTTTATCTATAAATTTTCAAAATATTAAGAATAAACAGCTTGATAAATTAAATAATTTGATTGCAGAACTTCCAATTGATAATCTGTTTAATACTAATGAGTTTGTACATCTGGATGATATTTTACTAATTGAAGAAATGCTAGATGATATGACTCTAATTGAACAAATTCATTGTGAACATAATGATGATGATACTTAATCTGATGATGAAGATGAACCATTGTGTAAAATTTCTTTACAAGAAGGAACTTGTCTTGCTAAAAGTTTGGTAGAATTTTTGTTGCAACAAAATAATGAATTTGGTGTTTCAGCTGAAGAATTAGGAATAGTTAGGCATGTAAGTGAAATTATTAGATACAAAGAGATGAATACAAGATGTCAGGTGTCAATAATGCAATTTTTCAATAAATAAATTTTTACTAAAATGATTTTATTTTTATATTTTTGTAAAATATTATTTTAAAATATTTATTTATACAATTGTATTGAAAGCCAAATATAGTCATTCTAGTATTGTCTATAATTACAAAATCATGATTACAGAATTATCGATTGTTTTATTATAGGTATTTAGAGTTACCTATATACGATTATTAGATAAAAATATAAATAAAATACTAGTAATGATTATTTTCGCTTAAATATTGTATAAAAAATAGCATTAAACTAGTACAATTATTTATTAGGCGAAGAAGTTTCAACAAAATAATTCTCTAGAGCTAGACTACATTTTCTATATTGTAAATATTATGCCAATTCACAGTACTTTACTTGACATTATAGTAGTTTGTTATAATAAGCAATTTTATACAAAAAAAATGAAATTTATTAAATTTATGAAAAAATTTCTTTCTCATTTATAATTACTAATTTATGATTGATAGTTATATTTTTTTATACACTTTTTTTTTTTTTTTTTTTTTTTTTTTTATTTCATAATATCAGAGTAGAAACTTTTTTTTTTTTTTAGTTAACAAAATTTGTAT